TAAATTAGAGAACGATGAACTGTTAATTCATTTCTTAATTAATTAATCCGTTCTCTTTATATTTGTTCGACGTTCAATGGTATCTGTCGCTCATTGGTTACTCCTGGCAGTATATAAATCACTTTTTGCTCAATTGTATGTGATAATATAACAATGAAATGGAAATTTGTCTTGGAAGAAAAACGATTAACAACAGAACGACACGACGGCGACGACAAAGTCTATTTCATGATCAAGTTAAAGCAAGACAACCACTTAATAAACAAAAATATCTGAGTACCTCACATAAAAGGGTTGAACAAATAAGACTGCAATCTAAGAAACGTAGCAGTAAATGAACTCATTAATTAAATGGTTCATTTTCCTCGGGGGCTATTTTTTCTAAATGAAGATAATTCTCTTTATTCGTATAGTTTCTTAAAACAACTAAGGGAAGTAATAACAAACAAATTTAATAACTTGGTCCTCCCTTCTCATTACAGATTGGACAGGAAATATATAAATAAATACATTGAAAATGCATAAATAAATACACTTTAATAACTATTATATGGTTTGATGCTCTCTCTCTCTCTGATATTGATCACTTTTACTCATAAATATAGCATACGTTAAAATTATATTTTTATCATATATATATTTTCTGTGTGTGTGTGTGTGTGAAAATATATAGAAAATAGGAAAAAACTCGTTAGGTAAATAATCCAAAGTAATTTTGTTATTATTTTTAAAAAGCAGTGCTCGATACAAAAGTAGAGCCTAAATATAATTATTCATTTAAAAATGTGATTCCATCGCTACATAAGAGTTCTCATGTTTCAAAACAAGAGACGAAAACTTCAATAAAATTATTTGAATTAAAATGAATAACAGTACCAAGCTCTGTTCCATCTTCAAGCGAAAATTTTTGGGGGAATCTCCAAAAAATTTTAATTTAATTCAAATAATTATATTGAAGCTTTCGGCTCTTGTTTTGAAAACATGAGACTCCTATGTAACGATGGAATCATATTTTAAATAAATAATTATATATATATATATATATATATATATATATATATATATATATATGTGTGTGTGTGTGTGTGTGTGTGTGTGTGTGTGTGTGTGTGTGTGTGTGTGTGTGTGAGAGAGAGAGAGAGAGAGAGAGAGAAAATAAGATTTGGGAAAACAACTAATATGTATTTATATGTAATATTTATAATACATGTATTTTTACAGAAAAACATTAAAACTAAAATTGTTTTACGTTAACCTGTTTTGCTTTTCAAAAAGTTTGTAAATGTTTATATTCCCATGAGTTTACGTTTGTGGCTTGAACAAATGAAAAAAAAAACAAGGGACGTAACTGGTTTTGAATGTCGGTTATAATAAGGAAAATATAACAGACTCTATTTTCAGAGTCGTGCGTCTGGTTTAAGCAATGAACTGAGAATTGGTTTAAACTTAGGAGGAACAGTAGGTTTGTATCCCGAGAAGTTCTTAGCTAATCTTTGAACTGAAATTTGTATACTATAAGATTTACGTAATTATTAATTACCATTGAATTAAGTATAATGACTAAGAAAGATATGATGTTTATAGATATAGGCAGTGTCCACACTGCAAGTCATTCTCAGGCCTTATGCAATCGTTAGACTGTTTATATCTGTAAAACGTTCTAACCCCAATATTGAGCAATTCTCACATAAATATAATGAAACATATATATATATATATATATATATATATATATATATATATGAATCAACACTGCATGCTGACAGTTTCACACCTCAATATGATGATTACTTATCGTATGAAACGGAGAATCAACATTCAGTATTAAATTCAACCTTCAAATAGTTTATAATATATATATTATATATAGTTTTATAACTATGACGAAATAGTCTTAAGATGTGCTATATTTATGGAATAAAGTGTTCAATATCCAAGATAGAGTATGTGTAAATATAAAAGTGAACATTAAAGTCAACACTTAGAGAAGACAGGCTGTTTCATGCTAGACGCAATCGTCAGGCCATGAGTGTTGTTTTTTTTTCTCGGTTATTTATATATACGTTTCAGTGGTGCATTGTGGGTAGTTTATTTTGGCGGCTGTTTTGCCGGAAGTCGTTTATTTGTTTATTTATTTGGGTTAATTTAGTTTGCTTGTTTTTATTTATTTTTAATTTTATTTTTATTTTTTATTTTTATTTATCTCATATTTTTATTTATTTTTATTTTAAACGGTGTTTTATTGCTATCGCTTATTTAATAGTTTTGTTTTGGTTTGGGATGATAATTAAACCTATTTATTCAATTTTGGGGTTGATTGGATTAGTTTATTCTAACTATTATTTTGGCGGGAGAAGCTTTTAATTTTTTATATTACTTCATATCGGGAAGCGGTTTGTTAATTTATTTATTTATTTAATTGGATTAATTTAGATTAATTCATTTTACTTCTTTTTATTATTTATTTATTATACTGTATATTTTTATTTACTCTTTTCGATCATTGGGTAACGTAGTATTTTTTTATCGCTATATAACAGTTTTGTAACTATACATAACTGAATTATATATTACATTACAAATCTGAAACAATATATGTGCTTAGAATTAGAACTATAGAATATTTTGTGTATAAATTAATATTTATGAATGATAGTTAAGGAATATATATTAACACGTACATGCATATACAGACGCACACATATAAACACACGAACATACACACACATATCGATACACACATACACATGGACATGCACACACGCACTTAAACATACACACTTACAAACACACGCATATGCGCGTAGATCTACAAAATATTTGTGTCCTGGAACTGTATAAAATTTCTGAAGAGGCAGAAATAAATACTAGGTAATTATATATATATATATATATATATATATATATATATATATATATATATATATATATATATATATATATATATATATATATATATATATATATATATATATATATATATGATATATATGAGTAATGGATAGCGGCTTGGATTGAGGAATCGGAGAGCCGAGTTCGAATTACTGTCGAATCCATTACATTCACTTATGTGCTAATACCCTTGGGAAAGGTGTGAATCCTCTTCTTCTCCCTTCAGCAATTGGTAAAAAGTAGGACAGACTGGGTTCTATAGCCTTGGATGGCAACTGGTCTAAGAGAAGGACAACTTTGTGCTATCTTCCGGCAGCGGCGCTGGTACCAAACTGTATTGGTTTATCCTCTCCTTTGGACTCTCCTAGCAGGGCCGAGGTGGGGAACTAGACGTCCGGGCAACCCTAGTTCTCCATATATCCCGCCCAGGCTCGTAGCGCACTGAGCGCCACTCCATCGTCTCTCGACGATATATATATATATATATATATATATATATATATATATATATATTGAGGCTAAGTCCACGGCCCAGACTACTTCGCAAAATTATTATTTCAATAACCGAACATCATAATGCTGATTTTGGGCAATATATCGCGCCAAGAGCTTTTCAGCACCCTGACTCCAAAATTTTAAGACTCACAGGCTTATGTAAATGAATAGCAGAACATTGACTCAGACCGATAGTAAGGGCATAAATATTGCTTAGAGCAACAAAGGGTAAGAAGTTGTGGAGAGCCTTGAGCGCCCATATCCTGAATGGACGTAGCCTATAAAAAAAAGATTCACAAAAATTTGTCCACATATGCAACAACGTATTCGAAGTCTTCTTGAACCCAAATCTTTTATTGTCCTTTTCTTCCTCACAACTCCTCTTAATCTTTTCCTTTCTCAATAATCCTTGGTGTCTTAGTGGCATTATCGCCTTGAGTGGGGTGAAATGATTAATAAAAAATGAAAAATAGAAACCTTGTAACTTGAACTGAATGAAACTTCCACACACACACAAGCATGTTTATCAGATTCTTTATAATGAATAAACTATGATTTACTGCTTAAAACCTGAACAATGTTAGGAAAATACACATATATATATATACAGACACACACACACATATATATATATTTATATATATATTTGTACATATACATATAAATAAACAGACACACACACACACATATATATCTGTGGGGGGGAGTGTGTATAACTTCCACAACCCGGAGATGATTTGACATGCCATATATGGAACAAGAAATGTAGATCGTTGGCTGGCATTATGAACCACAGTTGTCCACACAACAAATGAATGCAGTATGGCGGTAGGGTTGGGTTAACTGATGGACAAGACATGTCAGTGATAGTCATACCTGCTTTGTGAGTCGACAGTCAGTATACACTATATATATATATATATATATATATATATATATATATATATATATATATATATATATAAGCTAGTTGATCTGTCGATTCCACAGGCTTCAACCTTTCGGTATCTTCAGGGGATTCTCTTACCATTAACTTTTCATTATATATATATACATATATATATATATATGATATATATGGTTCTGATTGTGACCTTAAATATACCTGCACGCAAAAACCTGGACGCACACGTCTATATACGTAGTTTTGTGAACATTTTCCAACAGTTCGTTGGAAATTTTAAATCCCGATTTAAGATTTTTAGAATTAAATTAGTACAAACATAAAGGCTTTATTATACTTTTTATCATTCACTCTGGTGATTACATATTTTATGGAATAGTAAAATTTGAAGAACGTAAACGTTTGCGCTTACTTCAAAAAAATACGATAAATAAACATTGAATTTTCGGCCCTACATCTGCACGTTGTGCATTAAAAATCAGGAGCGTGTTATGTTAGGAATTATAATTGATCAGAAATTAAGAAAAAAGCGTTACTGAGAGGACAGTAATTTTAGGATGCATAATATGTCTACATAGGAATATGAAATGAGAAACAGGCGCAAATATTTGCCATATATTTAATTAGATGAATTAAGTATTGTATTAAGTTTAATGGAACAAATAAACTATATATATATATTTGTACATATATATGATGCATATAAATC